CAGTTGGGCGGAGCTGGCTCGTAAAAATTCAAATCCAATACGCGATTTTCCTGCACGAAGGGATGGAGGCATGCAGGAGTGCTTCGCGCGAGAGAGAGAAACGAAATTTCCGCCACACTCGGCTGCTCATTTCCTCGTCCCACTTTCGCATCACATCCAAATGAAATGGACTTTGTGGAGAATAACACATATATGCACACACGCTTCGTTGTATCATTTTGCGTGGATTGATGACTTTTTAGGTCAGCGCTTGAATCTGATTCTTGAATGATGAGAAATGTGCGGAAAAAGTTGCATTTTTTTCAGCAATCTTTTTTGGGATATTAATTATATAATAATTCTGTATAAATTTTTTTAACGATCAAAAAATTATTAGTTTGAAAATAAAAATAATGTCTGTTGAAAACTTTATAATGCACTCAGCATAATTAAAAAGGGAAAGGTTATTCATTAGTAGGAAATTGCAACTCATTATACTCAAAATTTATGAGTTTATCGAATCTAGGCCAAAAAGCTAATAAGCAATAAATCAATTAGTTTCTGACAACCCTTTGGATCCCCTGCTTTTTCAATTCCTCTTTTTATATATTTATACCTCTTGGTGAATTCTGCTATGTTCCCCAAACGACACACAGAGAGGCCAGTTTTATTGGCATTTTCATAAAAAGCGATGATTATTGGAATTCCCTTTCTGCTCGCAACACAATTGGCATCCACGAGTAAATAAAGCTGCACGCGCGTGGAAGAAATTGTCCATCTTGACAACCGGCAATTTTCCGCCATAAAAAAAGAATCAGTCCCGCTCGAGCCGCAATTTGTGCAATCCTCTCTATTCTATTACGTTTTTCGCCGGCGAAAAGCGATTGCCACCGCAAATCGCGTGCGATTCACAGAATCGCCAGCCGTAGTTTTGTACGGCGCTTGTGTCATTCTTTGCCCAACAGCACATCGGCGGTTTGCAGCAGTTTTCGGGCGGCGCGGCCAATTGAAAAGGAAAATTCACACAGAGAGAGCCGCAGCTTTTCACAGCTCAGTTCACTCTTTAACGAACGACGCACAAAAAGTAAAAAAAATACACACACGGCTGGAAATAATATATATCTGCTGCCTTTTTGCCGATTCGTCGAGCGTCGGTCCCTCCGGTGACCAAAAGACCGCAGCGACCTCTGCGTCCTCTACGCAGAGCCCTCGATTTGCATATTAGACAGGACGCATACATACGAATGCTAATTGGCTTTGTGCTGAAAAGGTCTGTTGGTGGATAGGAAAGGACTGCTCGCGATGATTTATCAACATTGCGAAAAGTTTTGTGGTACGCCCCTTATTAAAATCATACTCAATGGGATTCTAATTACAGGTAAGAGTAGTAAAAAGCAAAGGTTTCGTCACACTGAGCTGGGACAAGGAAAAATATCAATTATTTATTAAGTTGTGGATGTATGTATATTACTTTTTTCAATATTGTAGCAAATGGAACACACAAAAATTTAAAATTGAAGTAAATTTCTTGCCTTATATGTTGATTTTTTCTGGAAAAAACTTTTAAACCGCATTATTTAAAAAAAAAGTTTGTTTCTCCTTTGAGCCGTCACTTGTTTAAACTTATAAAAAAAGTTGGTTTGTGGTATTATTAAGTGATAAAATCAAAATTATCCTGCAAGCTTTTGATTTATAGTTCCTTTATCAATGATTACAGTGAAATAAATGCTTAATTTTCCCTCAAAAATATATGAAAGCTTGCAACTTATATCATTAAAGAAAACATTTTAATCTTGACAAATTTCAAACTTTGTTGTAAAAATGAAAAGGGCAACCTAGCATGGACACAAGATATGTTTTTAAAAGTTTCAGTTTTCAATAGGGTCAGTTGTCCCTAAATTTTTTAACAAGGCTATTGAGATTAAGACGAGTTTAAATTTTTCAATGAAATCTATCTAGTTTTAATTTTACTGTTTAAATATCGGAGGAAATTAAAGAGAAATTCAATCAATTTGATTTCCCTCCCTTATTTCCTAAAACTTTTGATTGACTTTGGAATGGAGAGCAATATAAATAAATACCGCTTGGTAAATTAAGCTGCAGAGGAAAATTGGCAAATTTGTATTTACAACTCTCACGCAATTTATTTTCCTTGTTACATGAAATAAGGAAATATGTGACTTCCTGGAATAAAGCAATACCAAAGACCAACTTTTCCTTGAGGAGTGTAAAATCAATTTCGTGTCTGACGTGCATGCGAATTTGTCAAGTTCTGCGCCCATTTTCTAACGGTGGAATTCTCTCTCCACGCGAATGCTCGTTGGAAAAGTTTTTTGGAAGCGAGAACATGGTAGGGGCGCCAATAAATTTTGACGAGGAGCCGTGCACTTTTTCGTCCTCAATTTCTTCCGCCTTGTAAATTTTTACTCTCGCTCGGTCGAGCGGGATTTGCGAAAAAGCGAATTCTTGGAGCGCAAATGGCCGATAATTGATGATGCATCTCGGCAACAACACATGCTCTCATTGACTTTGAAAAATGGCCACAGCTCTCTGCGACGAGCCTGCTGGCATTAGAGCTGCGAAACATGCAACAAAAGGAGTCTGGAAACAAATGGCGATTGTCAGCGGAGCAAGGGCGAATTGCAATTGGACGGTCGGCGAGAGTGGCCCCAACAAAAAGGATCAAAAAGCTCCACTTAATATGTGAATGTCACAGTGTGTTCACAAAATTGCTACACTCGTGCGTCCTTTAGAGATTTGAGCTTTTTGCTCTGGAAGCTATTCGCGTTAAAACTGCCAATTAAATAGATAAATGTTTAAATTTGATAATAAAATTCTCAAATAATTTTTCTCCAATACAAAATAATCAAGAAACGGTTAATTTTTTATTTTATTAATTTACTATTAAAAAATATACTGAATTTGTGATATTTACCTTTTGAAAATGACATGCTATTGAAATTGCAAACCTTCATAGAAAACTATACTCATTAAAAAAAAACATTTCATTTCAATAAAATCTGTTGTACAGAGTATTTCAATGTGTCAAGCGCAAAATGCAGATGGCTAAAAGTGTAGCTTGTGGTGAAAGATTAATTTTTATTGGTTAATCTTGCAAGAAATTCTGGCAGCGCGTTTTAAATTCAATAGCGGCGATCAAAGCATGTTGCAACTTTCGTTCTTTCTGTTTGCGTAGCTTTCAGATGCTCAACTTTAGAAAGTCTCAGTAGCAGGTGAGCATGCCATTGAAACTTTTCCATTATTTTAGTTTTTCTTTCACCTACCTACACGTCTGGCATGGATGTAAAATAAGATTGGTAAAACTAACGCTCTTTGGTGCGATTGAGAAATCTCAACATTAAAAGTTTTCTCGGATAATGTCTTATAAGATTTATTGAACTTAACTAATTTTTTTTTATTTTCAATTAGAGACGACAAATAAATTTTTTTGAAATTTAATGTTCTTCAATTTGATTTTCCTAACTATCAGACGCACGACTTTCCGATAATTTCCATAGTTAGCAGTGAAGTCCTCTGTAAATAATAAATTCACAGCCAGGCACACTGCTTTCAACTGCAGCAAAGAAATGTCTTTCTCGCCACTTCTTCTTCAACTATGTCGTGCACCCTCAAGAGCCATAAGTTATTGCACAGTAACGGAAGCAATAGACGCACCGACAGCGAGTCAGCGCAAACGCGGCTGCACCGCAAGAGATCGCAATCACCTGCTAGTTCAGTTTGCATGCACTCGACTCTGACGCGTTTAATGTAGATTTAACCCCTTCAGTCACACCATCATGCAGTTAGAAAAAATCAGCAATCTCTTTCTCACCAGACGCCTTTTGATTTATTTGAATGATATTTTTCGGCGACAGTTACATGATGGCTTAAGAGAGAGTCAGTGTGTATTGGAATTGTAAAGGAGCCCACCGGCTTAGTTAGGGTGGCGGGGGTTGCGAGCCAAGTGATTTATTGTTGTCTTGCAACCGTGGAGACGAATTATATTCCTTTAAGCCGAGCAGATTAATCGCGTTTTAATGTGAATTTACTTCTGTTTCCGAACGTGTTTTTTCTCCACATGGGTGAGTTAATTTGCTGCGAAAATTTGTCAGTTATAAAAGAATGACAAGTTTAAGAAAAATTGAAATTTGTTCGCACAAGAAAATACTTAAACTAGAAGTTTTTTTAGAAGGTGTCCCAATATTTACTTTCAATATTAAATTATTAAAAAAAAAAATCAAAATAAGCTACAAAAGCTATTTTTACTGCAGCATAATGTGAGTTAGTTGATTTTAATAAAAGATGTCTAAATTCAAATAATATGCCATTTAGATATAAAAACCAGTATTCACTCTTCAAACTAAAAAATCTTATTTATTAATTAAGTGCAAATAACCAAAATCAGATTTCCACACTCATGGCGTTTTTATTTCATATGACTCTTAATTATATCTCATTGGACACATATCTGAACTTTGAAAGTGAAATTAAAATTTAAATATAATTATATATTTGGGAATGAAGTGCAAGTTGAATTACAGCCATCACCAATACTGAAATAATGCTATCTCAAAACCGTCAAAAATTGCAAGAAAAATCAGCACTCGCTTTTCAACTCATTCCAGTAACAAAAAGTGGTCTCTAACTTTCAAAGATCTGCATAAAAAAAATTATTTAACTGATCCCTGATTTCATTCAGTTTCTTTTTCCTTCTTCCAACTCATTAAAAGTTAAATGAACTGAAACGAAATCGTTACGGCATCATGCTTGAGGAAAAAACGCTAAGCTGTCACCACATCGTCGGTGCGCTCTTTCAAGACAGTGCAGACTAGGCAGGTGAAGACAGCGAAAATTGAATTTTCTCCGTCACTCTCGTACCTCCCACTAAACGCTGATTGCAAACGGAAATAGCGGGCCCGCCACGGCTAATTGACAAATGTGATTCACAAAGCAATCAAATTAAATTTCCGTATCCATTAGAAGAAATTTCTTCTCATCTTTAGCAGAAAAAATTCACATACCTGAGTCGAGGATGGCGAACAAGACGACAACAAGGAGCGACGCGGTGGCCACCGAGGGCCTTCCGGTGAACGAGGTCATCGCTGACTGTGCCGGGGTCACACGAGCAAAAAATTACCGACCACAATGTAAGAAGAGCTCAACAATCCACTGGTAGCTGCAATCGGCAGCGCACTCGCCACATGTTTTGCAATGAATCTCCACTCTTCAAAACAATTATCTCTCTCTTCACTGATTTACTCGAGACGAAGCGGAAGGAGTTAAGTCCTTTGGGTCCGGTGTGGGTGGCCAACCTGGCTTCGACAGAGACGCAATGTAGCGTCGCCGACGAGTGCACAGAGCCAACTGAGTGGGGCAGCGAGGGGTGGGGTGGTGCCGCCGCCGCCGCTCCACCGCCCGGCGCAGCCGCCACCGAACACCCGAGGACCCGCGGCGCGGAGGAGCAGCCAAACAACTCCTACTCACCTGCGGCCAGCTTTTTAATTTGCTTTGCACCATTTGCGGGGGCGGATTCGCACCGTGAACTGTTTTTCGTTGCCTTTAAAATGTCCATTTTTGTGAAAATACTAATAGAGGAGAGCGCAGACGAGGCTAGGCCAAGTTTTGATTCATCCGAAAATGCATAAAAGCAAAAAAAATAAACATCGTCTTTATACAAACACTAGAAGAATAGTTTTTTATACATTTTCTTTCATGGTCTGGCCTTTTTAAAGTTTTAAATGATATTTTTGTTCTAATAATAATAAGGTAATGATTCATCAGCGCTTCAGCAGCCAGCTTGGCGGCTGCTTTGCAAAATACGCAAGTTTTCCATTAAGTTTTTTGCTCTCTTCGTCCGTGTTGGCAAGCTCGACTGTATAAGTGTATATGTAATTAGCATTAGAGAGAGACGGGACAGACTACGTTTGAAGAGCAAGAGAGACACACACGCTCGCGGACACTAAAGAGCCAGTTAGTCGACTTCCAGATGGAGAAGTGACGAATGCATTTGCCCGGTGCCCTCTTGAGAACGAAATGAGACGTCGTCCTCATCTCGCGAGTTTGTTTTGCAGACTTTTTATGTGCCAATTAAAGCCCTCTCTCTTTCACATCGTGTTCAGCATGTGTGTGCAACGACTGGCGAAACTACATATTTTACGGCCGTGTTTGCTTCTTTTTGTCGCAGTCTGTTATTTCATGGACTATTTAATTGCTTAATTAACGCATCCGTGTGGAATATTATCGTGGTCGAAGTTTTCGGGTCATGAAACATTAACTTTTTATTTATTTTACTAATATTTTCAAAAGAGATATTAAATTATTTAAATCCTAGAGAAGTCTTAACGACCTGGAATGCAGAAAATTTCCTGCGCGTGTAATAATATTTTTATCAAGTTCATTTCCAGCACTTGCTCTCTTCTTCATTTTTTCCCCAATATCAAAAGAGAAATTCTGCTCTGCTCTCCTCGATGTGTGTGTATGTGTAACTGGGAATATTGAAATGTCAACGCAACCCGCGCTGAGGGGAATATAAATATGTTTTTTTGCCAGGGAGGCCGTTGCGCTGGAAAATTATTTGCATGTCTCCCTTCCTTATGCTGCGCTGCTGCTGTCGAAAGGGGCAATCACAAAACTTAGAATGGAGCAGCAGCCTTGCAAGGGCGCGTGACGATAAAATTGCGCGCCACGAATTCTCACTTGTACTTCATGCCTATTATACTGGTGGTTGACAAAAATTGCGAAATGACAACAGAAAAGAAGTTGAAAACAGAATATTAGACATTTATGTACGGATTTAAACACACAACACTTGTTCTCTGGTATTTCAGTTAAACTGCATTTTTTTTGTCAATCAAAATTATAAGACTTGACAAATCTGTAATCAATGCGATGTAAAAATGGGTAACTAACCAACAATTATCATTTAATAAATTTCAGCACTGTAAAAACTTCAAAATACATTATATTATTTTCAAACATTTAAAATTTTTGAAATTGAATTCTCCCTCAACTTTTAATATTTTGAATTACAGGTTACATAATTTCAGGTTTAAAGTTATTTCATAATTTTAGGAACTCAGAAATCCCGCACTAACTACGCAGTTAAGTTCTTTATTTATTTTTGATTATTTGCTGCCAATTAGTGAAATAACATAAACAATTGTTATATCATAAAAGAATTTACGTTCTCTGCCATATTTAAACACTAAATTTGACCGCATAAATCCTATATTATTTTGTGCTGGCACTGCGAGCAGTTTTTCCTTTTTTATTATTCTCCAAAATCCCAGTATTATCATTTTTATATCTAGCCGCGACCTATTTTAAAACAAACAACAAATGAGCTGTGAACGAGAATTTGCATGTTTGCGTTCATTTTTACTGTTGACCAAAAAACATGGGTGCACCGAATGTTCAATATAAATCAAGTAGGAGGTTTTTTCCTTGTTGAAATATTTTCAATTTTTATTTATCGTCTATATATTGATTTAAATTAATTGTATTATTATATGGTCGTGAAATTCTGGTATTTCAATATTTGTTACATATATTTTGACAAATTATCGATACTTGAATTTACCTAATTATAATTTTCATTGATTTCAATAGTTATTTTCACATTACCTACATTACTTTTATTTTAATTTTTAATCAGTGGTAGACTTGACCTTACATCTTGTTTCCTTTAATGAAACGCTTGAATAAATAAAATAATATTCTTTTCTCATTCATTATTTCACAATAATTCACAACCTAACAATTTGAATTTAACATACTGACCTTTTGATCATGGACTATTTTACGAAAATCAATGTTGCTGTTTCAACTTTTGAAAATATAAAGTAAAGTGAGAAATGCCAAAATATGGACCATCCGCTAACCCTAAACTAATTGCAAGGATGAAACAGTCTCAAATTGAGCCACCTTTGTTTGAGTTGCTACAATATTCTCCTCAAAGAATAACATCTTAATTAGAAGTAAAACTTTCCACCCTTTTGCAGCTGAAAATTCTGTGTCACTGGAGAGGCCATAGAAATCTTTTCATCTCCACAAGAATAAATTAATTAAGAAAAATGAGCTGCCTTAATTAACGCCCTGCTCGTGCGCCACTTTCTTTTCAGCCACAAGAGACACAATCTCTGGAAAGAAAAATCTGCGTTCGTGGCGAACATTAGCTGCGCTGAAAGTTTATTTTACTTTTCCCAAAACGCGTTGTCGCGCGTTTTCTCTTATAACTCGACGTTACTCTTGACAGACTATCCTATCGCTCGGCAAAGTCATTTCCTCATTTCTGCTTAATGTTCAAAAGGGGAGATGTGCTGCTCTGATGATGCAGACCTAAAGGCCTTTGGCTTTAATCTCTGCCGCGCCGAGACACGTCTCACTCCATTGTATCGCGTGTCAGACGACTCTGATAGCGCACTCGCTGTACATTATACATTTTGGGTTATAATGATATTTTCACGATTCTTGAGATCAAATCCATGGATTTCATGTAATGGGAGAGGATGATTTTATGTGCATGAAGTCAATGAACTGGAAACGCTAGAAAATATATATATTTTTTTTAAGAAAAAGATGACATCAACAAAAATCTATTGTTTTTAATAACATGATTAATATCATTCTAATATTTGATCGTGTTTCATGCGAAGGCACCAAATTTTTATAAAATAATTTTTTCTGTAACATTCTATATTATGCAGTTATTAAAGAAAAAAAATAAATTAATCAATCACTTATTTGCCAGAATATTTTCTTCATGAAACAAAATGCTCAATAATAAATTTTAAACTTAAAACAGCTTATAATATTTTGATAATTAATTGATGATGAACCAATATTTTGATATTTTACGCAAGATTTGAATCAATCCACAGATAATTAGGTTAATTATATAATTGCAATAACAACGTTTAATTTTATATAATTCTCTTGCTTTTAACAATTTAAGTTTATTTTGAAAATTCAATTTATTATATATTTTTTGCATCTTTTACCCACGTCAGCATATAAAACTCTCGCTCGCATCCACTTTCAGTGCGTAATAGAGTATTAGTAGGGTGGGTGGCAGCAACAATAATATCCAGCAACGCCTTTTCTCATTCCTTTCACTTCTTCCTACTCCCATCTCTATTCTGAAGAGCCAGACCTCGTTGAGTGAAAGAAGAAATGGGGAATCAGAACGTCAGAAGCTACTTCTTTATCCGCCTATATTATCTGGCGGTGTTCAAAGAAAACCAGCAGCATTCTGGCAATAAAAGAAAAATAATCAGCTTAAGTTTGAGGTGCACGATTCCAGCCTGAACTTCATTCTTATTCACAAAGAGAGCTATTAATGTATGACTAGGAAATAACAAACAGCCCTTTTATTATTCTGTTAAACCCTCGAGGTTAATGATGTTTTACGGTTCTTTAAAAAGGATGGTCTTGGTATTTATTTATTTATTCACAACAGATGAATGAATTTTCTCGGAATTTATTTGAGGACTGTTGAGCATTTTTACTTCTCAAATGGAGTCACTTTTTAGTGCATATTTCATTTAATTAAGTTTATTCATCTTAAAAATTCATTTAAAGCCAATTAATTTAAATTGATACGAAGACCTTACAGTAAATAGTACATAAATTTTAAGCAACTCAATAGCTCTTATTTCAAAGCAAAAAACTATTTCCAAATTTATTCATCTGAACTTAAAAACCTAATTCACTTTTAAAATTATATGCAAGACTCTCTTTGAGAAACTCTTGAATATTTATCAAGTTAAAAGTTTCGCAGCAAAAATATTTGCTCAAAAAATTTGGGGTTCCTCGGCGACCCCAGCAAAGTGAAATTGGTTGCCTCAACCATTTTCCGTGCACAAACATTTGACCACCCTTGAGGCAACCCTTCAAAGTGGAGCTGGAATTGTTATGGGGAAGTTCACAAAAGCCTTAGCGCGCCGAACTGGCGAAGGCGGTTTCTGCGAATTCCTCCTCCAGTTCAGACCACTTGTGCTGGTTTCCCCAAATATCCATTTTTAAAGCAACTCTCCAATTATATGGTGCAACCAACACAAACACATCTGCATTTGCGAGATATATTTTTTCCTGGCAAGTGTAAAAAATTCTCGAGACTGTGCCAAGTTGCAAAAATGATTTACGCAAAGGGACGCGGAATACAAAGCAAAAAGTAGAAAGGACATTAATCAGCAGCACCACCAGTGTTTCTCTTGCCACCTAAAATTACGACCCTATATGCACTGCCGCTAAAAGCGTGTTTAATTTATTATTCCGAAAGATAAAAAAATAAAATTTAGAATATAGAATGAAATTTCATAGCGAATGCACACAAAAAAGTTCATTTTCGGC